AATTGATCTACAGCCATACACCATGTCTATAAATTTTCTCTGTGGGGTACCTAAAATATAATTTAAGCTAAATTATTAATGTAACGGCTGTTTCGTAGCGTTGTGGTGTTTACTATGTGTAATATAACTATATGTAATACTATATCGTCCTTTATTTAAAAAAATATATTGTAGGTGTATATACATTATTAATATTAGTGCTAAATTGTATAGTTTACGTGAGTGGAATAATTTATTTTCTAGACAATCACTTTACCTATATATAAAGACTAAATATTAAGAGTCTACCATTTAAAACGCTATTAGTAATAAAAGTTGTACATAGATTTTATGCTAGATGACCATTCTTTTATTTCCAAGAAAGAGTATGGAATAAGGGCTAGATAGAAAGAGGTAAAGAAAAATTAGCCTCGCTAAGCAAGCTTATTATTACATGAACAACATGAAGCAATTTCTTAAGAAAGCTCTCTACGTTTTTAAAGCTTATTTCCCAGCGCTATGACGTAGGTATAATGTAGATCTTGAGATGAATTGTCAGCGTCTTTAAAAAATATTGCAGTCGCAAGTGAGCGGAGAGTTATTATTGTGCTACGAAGAAATTTATTTGTTTACTGAATACTGTAGTCGCGACGTACGCTCACTTCGTTTTAATCTCACCAGTTTGATGACCAAGCCTGAGCCAAGTTAATTATTCCGAAATTGTTCTACCATGGCCCACAGTTGGGCATCGGGGAGAGGGTTTAAAAGATTAGACCCAAGTTGAATGTTTCATATCATATGATTTTGAGTTACGTTCTGTTGTTATCGGAAATTAATGTTTTTTAGCTGTAATTTTGAACTGCAGTGCATATATCCTCTTTAAGTTATTAAGAAATAGTAAGAAGTACATAATAAATTTAGTAAGGAATACAGAACGTTCTAGAGGTAATAACAATAATATATATTTTTAAATTTATTTTGCTATGTAGTTCTTATATTTATCTCTATTATAAAGCTAAGAGTTTATTTGTTTGTTTAAACGCTAATAACAACTACTATTTGAACTAAAAAAATATTTTTTGTTGGATACACCATTTATTGAGGGCGGTTTATTTATTAAACTTTGTTAATTACAAACCCCACAGGAATGGTTTACAAGTATAAATTCTTATGTACTAGGTTATAAATACGCGCGCCCCCCCCCCGCCCCCCCCCGTGGGGGGAGCCCCCCCAAAAATAAAATAAAAGACCGGGAGAAGTGATAAAAAAAAGGATGAATAAAATTTTGTAACTGTACGATCTAATTACTGTAATCAATAGGAGTGACACAGTGGAAAATTTAAAAAAAAGTGGAGACATTTATTCATAGTTGTGTTCTTCCGCTGCATGTGCCGAGAAAACGGTTTAAGAAATCCATATATACATTTTAAAAAATGATTCCTCAATTAATGGAGAAAATGGGATCTTAAGTTACATCAACATAATAATATTCATCGTGCAAGCTACAACACAACCTAGTAACAACAAAATTTCGACATGTGGCTATTTGTTTTTACAATCTCAATTTATTGAATAAAGTATCCATACTATAGCTGTGTCAAAAATTGCTATACTTACTTAAATACTGTCTATAGTTTACGCAAGTAGTACACGTTTAAAGAAAACACTTTAACGGTTTAAACCGCGAAATAAATTTGTCAAACTTATTTTACCTACGGACAGTATATGTCTTTTTTTAAAACATTTTAATTTAAGCATTTAACTCTAACTATACCCCCTTGGATGATTAAGTAAAGCGAAGTTCATTTGCAAGATCATATGAATAGATGTTTTCAGGACAAACAGTTGCTTAAGTAGTCAAACAAGAAACCATTAGCGTATCTCATCGTGAAGTACCGACGTTATTAACTAGTTAACGGGTTATACCGTTACGCATCTACGAAATATATTAAATTTAATATATGCTACAACTTTGAAAATTAATGGCCTTCATCGACAGCTAAATTTCAGTGTCTTAATTTAATTTTGGGAGTCGTGTACGGTCTATGAGTACGACAGTTGTTACTAATTAACGTACATACTTTCCGGTAAAAAATATTTATTAAAATACTATCTGTAGTTTATGCGAGTAGTATAGAATAAAACACTGTTAACGATTTGAAACTACAAACTACTTATTACTTAATCAAGAAGAGTCAGCTATACCTAAAACCTACTCAAACTTTGGACCAATGCATTTCGCGTTTTAAACCGTCAAAAGTGTTTTCGCGTGTTTACAGACAGTATCTTAATATCTATTTATTAAAATAATTCTTGAATTCGCTACTGTTACCATTAACTTATTAATCATTTAAATAATGAGAAAAAAAACATTGTCTTTGCATGTCTTATAAGTAAAAATTCAACTACGGCCCGACGTTTTGGATGCTATGCAGCTGTGGTCATGAGAAGACTCGGGCCGTAGCTTAAATAATATTCAAATAAGTTTAACTAATATATATCGCGTTTTAAACCGTTAATGTGTACTACTCGCATAAACTACAAATAGTATTAAACATTACAAGGTGTTTTGTGTGGATGATATAGCAAGCACATTCTTCTGAGTTCCGAATCCCAGCTACTACTACTGAATGCCTCGTGACACAAAAAGTTTTAATAACTTAACCCGCTATAGTTTAATTTGTAGTTGGGTTGAGAGTTTACCGCTGCATATTTGCATTTTATTTGAACAAAATTAAGATTCGCAGAGCAAGGTCCCGTAGAAAACACGATATACCGAGGTACTGCAATTTCCATCTGCTTTAGATAAGCAGAGCTACATTTTGTGTTACACGTATGTATTGAACCATTTTTATGGTTATAATTCAGTATTATAGTTAGTATACTGAATTATAAGTTATTATAAGTAAGTTTTGAAATAATTAAAAAAAAACAATTTTTTTGTGTAAGGTTTTCACGGCCATCGTTCACCATATTCTCAGAGGTTCTCGACGTTTCGCCATTACGTGTGGACGGCATCAGCAGGAGATGTTAACTCTTCGATTGCTCGAATTATGAGTTGTCAATGTCAACTCATTTTTTGTTGAGATTTAATATAGTAAATTAAGCATCTAACTACTATGGTTAATGTATGTCAGAAGGCTACGGTTCTATTTCTTATATTAATAATAGACTGTTAACGGTTTAAAAGGCTAAATATTTTTGTTAATAGTATCCATTGTCATGGGAATAAAAGTTATATTCCCAAAAACGAAGTAGTCCACTTTGAAATAAAATTGTATTCTATCTGCATTACAAAATTCGTGTCAAAATTTTCTCATTTACCTTTATCAAAGTTTTCACTTATCAGAATAGTTTTGTGTCCCGAACTGTTTTTGTCCCTAATTTGTTAGTGGATTAACATAGTTTCGATTTTGTCCTGTATCAGCAGTATAAACTGAAACTGGATGAGACTTCCAAATGGAGGACAAACAGAGATATCTACCGGTCCCAGTAAATGGGCCTGTTTTCCCAGATTGCAGAGGGTTCCGTGATGGATTTTTACGAACGGTACCTAAATTTTATATATCTATACTATTATATAAAGTTGAAGAGTTTGTTTGAACGCGCTTATCTGAGGAACTATTGGTTTGAAATGAAATTTTTTGTTGTTTTTTGTTGGGTAGAACATTTTTTGTGGAAGGCTTGGTGTTTAGGCTATAAAACATCATACTGCGACCAAAAGGAACAAAGAAACAGTGGGAAACGTGAAAAAAAATGAGAAAAATGACATCTTTGTGCGTCTAATTGCGTCGAAATATTTCATTATGCAAAAGAATGTTTGCCAGATCAGCTAGTTTTCTATATAAAATGCGTGTGTAACTGTAATTCTGTAATTTATGAGATTAGACCTTTATAAATCGATACTTTTAATGTATGAAAATACATGTTTAATGAATTAATAATATATCAACTATTATTAATAATATACATTACGTGATTATTATTTGCGTTTTAAATCGAAAAAGATTTCCTACGATTTAGGCGATAAATAATTAAATTTACAATTATGATTGTATAAATCGTTAACGTATAAAACATGGTCATTATAAGAATGTACTTAAAATAGAAGAATGTATAAAAACCGTGTACAAAAACGTATTTTGAAGCAGGACGAAGCCGTAAGCGCTGGATTATTACGAAATAGACTTTATTTTACAAAGAAAGAAAGGAATTACTCTGAAAACGGACATAACTCTTCAGTGATAACGAGATATCTGCCTCATCTCGGTTATTTACGCGACTTGATAGATAGAGATGAATATTCAGAGTGACTACGTCGACAAATCTCGCTTCTCGATTCTCGAACTAGGTTTCCTTTTACCTTCCGGAATTGCAAAATAAATCTCTGTCGAAATCGGATATCCACAAGTTCTTTGTTTAGGCCGTATCTACGAGCTCGGGTTGCAAGCATATAATTATACTGAGAATATTCAATTTAAGGTTAAACGCCATTGGTCCTTAAAAATACACTTAAGTAACGAATTACAAGTAATCTTTTGAAAACTTTAATATTTTTCACAATTTTAATAATTTCACATGATGGCACTATATTAATTAATCGATAATATTAAAAAAGTTACGACTCGCGCAGGACTTAAAATGGTATCCACAGTGTTTCGGTACTCGGTAGCTCTATTGCTTAGAGTAACAGCACGGAATGTTGAGGATGCCAGTTCAAGTCCTGACCAACTCGTAATTAAAAAAAAAAAACGCTTTTTCATTAGTACAAGTAATCTGTAAAAATAGTAAACATATAAGAATAAAAATTGCAAACACTCAACTTATTAACTTTAGTGTTTCATTGTTTTTCGGGCTGTTCGACCGACGTGAGCGAGAAAGCTAACATCTCCTGATGATGCCGTCCTCTCGTGATGGCGAAACGTCGAGAACCTCTTCTCGCTCATGTCAGCCGAACAGCCCAAAAAACAATGATATGCTGAACGAAGCCTTACACGATTTATTAACTTTAGTGTTATTTTTTAGTATGACTCTCTCGTTGCTAGGTCTATGCATGACTCCAGTTCACCAGGTTCGCATAAGAATTTTAGTTTTAGGTCGTCAGTCTTGGTTTTCATCACTAGTGGCGGTAGTCCGTATAGCCACCACCTACTCGGGAAACCCATTCTACGACCTGTGCCGAGGAGTGGGACATTAATAAGCTGATGAAACGTTAACAACCATAATTGTTAACTCTGATCAGATATTATGTAATACGAAGATAATGCAATTGAATATAGTTACGTAATATCGCGGTAAGTAGATAATAATATTATTAGGTATGTGTATAGTATGGATTAGGCTAACGATCTACGTAGGTATGCGCTTGTATTCACAATCAATTGGCATGTGAGCATAGATAGATTGATCCAAGTAGACGTAATTAGACATTTGATGGTTGACTAAACTAATTTAGATCTGTGGTCATTTCGCAGAGTGATTTTTTAAATAATGTCTTATTTTAACTAATAATAAGTTATTGTAAAAAGGGGAAGGCTTTTTTGGTGCTGTCTATAGGAATGGATGAGCACCGGTTTTTAGGGCTTCCACTATTTTGTTAATAAATACTTCTTCTTGTTCTTGATAATAAGTGACATACAATAAGAGTATTATAAAAGTAACTAAGAATAGGTAGACTAAGTAATTGTAATATATATTGTATAGTTATTAATTAAATGAGAAATAACACACAAAGTAGAAATAATGACACCATGAAGCTACCATATTTTGCTATTTTTTTGCTATCAATATTAAGAAACCAATAAGCAAATGGATTATAAAGTAGTGAGTATATCCGCAGTATGTGGTATAGTTTTGTCATTTAACCATAAATTCATTGAAAAGGTCGTTGGCAGGAGATTCTCTTGGAAACAATCCAAATTTAAATATCCTCTTTCGAAAATCATAAAGATCGCATTACGTATGATAAAGCTCAAATGCATTTTCACTTATGGGTGCGTATTTCTAAGTGAAATTGTTAAAGTTTGATGTTGAAATTTAGAAACAATTAAATATATACCGATAACGTAATGTATGTAGTTCTAGTGTATGTATGGATTACAACTTAAATTAAAAAATACATGTATAAATAAAACACTTTAACGGTTTAAAACGCGATATATTTTAGTAAACGAATCCAAGATTTGCCTCTTCAACCCCTAAAAACCCTTTTTTGGTATTAAAAAGCCTATGTCCTTTCTCATGTTCTGATATATCTGTGTACCAAATTTCATTTTAATCGGTTTAGTAGTTTCGGGGTTAAAAGCAACAGACAGACAAAGTTACTTTCGCATTTATAATGTTATATCGTAATAAAGTATAGATACTTGTTCAAATTAAATTTTAAAACAAAATATGTTCGAATACTGAACTTCAATCGAGTCAACTTTGTAAACAAGACTGAAATAGTGAAGTACGAAGTGGCTGTAAAATACGCTATCCGAAAAGAAAGTATATTATTTCTTTTCAGTCAATCCAATTTGCGGCGACTGCAGTCCGGTTGCCACAACGATTTTATTGTTCGACATGTTCACCACAGAGTCCACAATGAACATGAAATCAACGATACCTCACAGCGGCTCTAATACACACGTCTTATAGTTGGGGAGTTGCGGCCCAATTCTGTTACACAATGGTCGTTCTCTTGGTGTCGTGGTCCTCAATATTGAGAGTCATTAACACGTTCAATGTTCAATATTGTATATTCAATCGCTGTTGTTATACTTTCGCCACTGTAGCATTTTACTTTGCGACAATTATTATAGCATATCATACACAGCTGGTGTGTTGGTGGCTATTCGCTACCAAATCATTGTCTAGTGTATTCCACAATTATCGTTGTTATTGTATTCATCTCACATAAATTATGAATTCTGTCTTCGACGATATTACTATTCATAAGAATAAGATTAACACAGTTTTTTAAATATTTTTTATTAATTTAAAATTACAAAAACATACGAAAATGGATGTCTTTAATTAAAAAAAAAAATGTTCACGTTTCGCGTTAGGGTGTACTAGCCCCCACACTAGGATTCCCTGAATCGTAGGCGGTTTCTCTCTTCCAGTGCATTAACAATTAACAATCGAATTGAATACATAGTAAGTTCTTACATGCTAAGTGATAAGTACAAAAGGTCATACAATATAAATTTCGTAGAAATTGTTCAATTAATTTTACTGAGTTCTGATGTTCTTCTGGCAGACGATGAAATCATATAAAACGACTCCCACTGGCTCCCCAGCTATCAATTCTGACAACAATTTCATTGTACTACAAATGTTATAGCGTTTCATTTGTGAGTATTTTTCACAAGTTTCGTAACAAAATAAAAAATATATTGCTTTGACATATGCGAACAGTGTTGCGAGCTTTATTGTAAATAACGGTATGCTGCTGGTGCCAATATATTATTATGGGATGTCCTATATTCTGTTGGCAAAGTGGTCAAGCTGTCTATAAAATATAGGCTGCGATATTTAGGCTTATTACCCATAGAACTAACTTGTTCGCTCCCGTAGTTCGTTGCATTACATTTCCTTCCATTTCGTGAACCCTAAAGAGCCCTAGGCCCGCTTCCGGGAAACAAAATTTTGTGTCGGATAGGACAGAAGTTGGCTGTAAATACATTTGAATGTAAAATACTTTTGGCCCACGATTGAAATAGCCTATAATTTATATATGGATATATAAACTATCTAAGTAATTTTTAACATAATTTTTGCTTGCCTTGTATTTCATTATATTCACGAGAAAACACCACAACAAATTATATTAGCACAGGCATAACAAATCAAAATGTAGGTGTCATTAATATTGAATTCATAGTATAACTGTTTTCAGGGACGTACACAAATAACGAATTATAAAATCTAAATTAACGATAGTATCTAAACACTTACTATACGAGTAGTTCATAAAATATGTCTCTAAATAAGACAAATCACTACAAAGAGCTGAGTCTGTGCGTGTCAGCCAAGACTAATGTTTAGTTATAATATATCTGAACTTACTACAAGAAATATTAAATATAAGAATGTGTCCATTACCAGGTCTTACTGTTTTTCTGCTAATTATAACTAAATTATCGAGTTTGTGGGGGAATCAAGTGGTTTACACGAGTGGTACAAGTTAAAAATAATGCATGTTTAATACATTTGTAAACGTTGATAATTTCCAAATGATATATGGCACTATGTAAATTAAAAAATCGATTATCGATTGAAAAAACAAACAAAATAAAACATAAACAAACAAATATTTAATATTTATCAACACTAACGAATGCACAAATGGACAGCATAAATGAATTCAAATGAAACATTGCAAATATCTCACGTTAATCTTAAAGTTTTGTTTTGCAGTGCGGAGTTTGGAGATAATGTCGTTAGTTAACCCCTCTAACAGTATGGGTCCCAAACTCCCTAGACACTTATGCTCCAAGTTAGCCATGATGGTATTATGTACGGTGAATATGTTTATTTGCGTCAAAGCAAGAGTGCCGAAAGTCTAACACCATAGCGATTCCTTCGGGATTTTTTTATTTTAAGCTAGAGGGGGACGGACAAGCATATGTTTCACGTGATAGTAGGTAATTTACCCCAGCTTTGAAACATCCCGCCATAAACCCGAAACATGATAAAAATTGACGGCCCTTTCATCTGCGGATGGTGGTTCGTGACCCGACTGAAATTTCGATATTCCTACCACCTATAATATCCAGATTTCAAGTTATACAGTTTTACATGTTTCAGCGATGAAATTGATTAGAAAAGGATTGAACCAATGACAAGTAGATTATTAAATACTGTCTATAGTTTACGCGAGTAGTACACATTTAAATAAAACACTAACGATTTACTAGTCTCCCCGTGACCACGGCTGCTGCAAAGCATCCGAAACGTCGGGCCGAAGTTAAAAATCATTTTCAAATAAGTTTAACTATTTTTTTATTTTATTTAAAAGTAGATTATTAGCCATACATTGCTACCATTAGTACACCGAACCCATAAATCTATTAGTTAAGTTTTGAAATCCCTTATTTTTATTATTTGTAAGTTTTAACTGCATTTGTTTAGTTTGCAATGTTATCATATAAGAGTACGAAATCATAAAATATTCTTTACTTTCATCGTTAAATTGTGTTTAAATTGCCTCAGAGTACTCAACCTGGCTAGCTTCTTGTAACTATGTTTACATATGTCCCCGTTAGTGTATTATTCAGTAGAACGGCTAACTCAAAAGCTTTTAAAATATTGATTGATATTTGCTAAGCCTCACTCGGGATTTTATTGAAAAAGACTTATAGTTTTCTTTACACGAGACACCAGATATATACTTCTATGTTATATTAAAAGTGTCATCACCACAGTGTATTGAAACTTTATGTTAATATTACGAATATTATTCATATTTAAATGTATGTCTTAAATTGACAGCAAAGTTGTTTTCTGTGCCAAGACTATATACCCGACACTATTCTACTATAGTTATTCTATCGATGTTATAAATCCGGTTTATAATACTGTACGTGGTCCGTTACACCCATCGATTTTCCAATAGAATTAGAATAATAATAGAAATACTTTATAGAAAACTCTAGAACATCGAACCCAGTTAATTAACTGCTGTCATTTTGGTACCCAATCATTATGCGAATGAAACACGGTCCACTTCCAGTTTTATATTTATGAAAACGTTTCAAATTTCTTGAATGAAACATAAAAGACAACGACTGCGGCGTGTCAAAGTCTGTGTCGTCGTTATTGTGAGAATGGTCACTTTATGAGGAGATAAAATAAAAGACCCGCCCGTGAGACGCGTAAAGGTTATGTGGGCGAGATTAAGGTTCTTGCCGAAGTTGCAAGATGATATATACACTTTATTGCATCATTTACAAGAGATACACAAGTCATGTAATTAAATCCACCCCCCGTATAATGAGATGAACGCAAAGACAATCAGATATGGGTTGTGTTTTGAAACAATAAAAAGTGTTTTGTTGTAACGTGTACTCCTAAACTACTGATAAAGGACGTGAATCCTTAGAAAAAACACTAGATTTAAATATAACAAAATATTAAAATTACAAAATGTTTAAATGATTTCATAATATGAATAATATTGCGATATATGCGTTTTAAACCGTTAAATTGTTCGATATTGTGAAATACTGCGTACTATAGACAGTATTAACGAATAAATGCTTAAACCAGGTAATTTGAAGGTTATTGATATATAGTAGAACAATTATACCGTTAATTCGAAATAGTTTGAAAATTTTCGAACCTGACCTGTTAATAATGGTTAATAAAAATTCCAAGAACACGAAATATTTTATTTAAATCTATCGAATGATTAATACTAACATTGTTAAATACTGTTTATGTTAAAATGTTATCTAATACAGTGAAGTTACTGATAAATATTACTATGTTAATGAGAATTTATGGTGTCGTCGTCATGTAATTGTAAATGTTTAATTGCGACTACAAAAACATTGTTACAATATATTGTTCTGAATCAAGTGTTTGGTGCAGTGCAACAGTGAAGGTAATTCTCACGTAAAATATAGACAATGAGCACATATGTTTTGACAGATTTTTTTAACGTGAAACTTATAAAAAAATATTAAAGTTTTCAAACGTTAATCTTTGTAATTCTGCACGGAACGCTGTTGTTGCCCGTTCAACATCCATTTTTAAATTATATAGTGCCATCATGTGCAATAACAAGTAAAAAATATTAACGTTTTCAAACAAAATCTAAAAAAAACCATTACGTTCGAAAGATTGCGTATTGCCTGAATTCCGCGGAACAAAATTGATTGCTAGTTATACAATATTCACGTCTCACCAAGGTCGTCTTGAGATCGGTTAGGGTCGTTGATCTATTGAAGTATCGCATCGTAATTCGATATGATGCCGTTTAGCCTGCGGTGAGGATTGGTGTCACTGCTATCCGCCCAGCCTGAACCCGATTACTGCATTTATGATGCTTGCCTGCAATCGAACCCCCCGGCTATATCCGATTGATGCCAGTAATAGGCTTTAGATTGTGTTTTATTTATTTTTACATACATCTTTATTTATTACAACAAAATGTATTCATATGACTAGTAAATAGCAGGCCTCTGTAAATCTAATTCCAAACTTAAACTTGACTATTTGTTTTTTTTTTATTTTAGAGCAGAAATATTTATTTGATAAACATACATTTGATATACAACACAATATGTTCAAGTGAGCCGGTAAAATAGCCTTGTGTCTTAGTTTGTTTTTTATTTATATTTATAAAAAGAAAACTAAATTAATAAAAATGTTAAGTGTATTATTAAAGTATCTCTGGCTAAATATTGCTTTTAATGCTTATATCAAGACTAGGGATATAATATAGAATAAAAATATAACATTATTGTATCCCTGTGATACAGCATAGCTTTTCCGCTTTACTTACTTAAATAATGTGTTTTCGTAGAACCTACCTAATAATGACAAGAGTTAGTACATAAAGAATTACTTATATGATGAGAACATTTCTTTATTCGCATAATCAAGAAAGAGTTCTATCCATAAATTTTCTTTTAGCAAAGCATATCCACCACTTGCTTGGTTTTCCATCGTCCGTAGCAAAAACCTAAAAATGCGTCGTAATGTATTAAAATCTGAATCTTAAATATAGCCTATTCTGTGGTACTGTTAGTAGTATAGTTGTACCTTCTCACAGATCCTTTCTCCAGTTTCATGTCTCAGTTGCTGAAGATATAGCCTCATCAAATCTGAAAAGAAATAGCCCACTACGTATTTATATAAATCTTTCTGTATGTCCCCGTTTCTTCTCATTAAAGTCTAAGCTTATTTAGATGAATACATACATTGCTTAGATCCTGACACAGAAACTTATTTTTAAGAGAATTTCAAACCTAGATATTACAATAAATTGTAATGTAACTAGATAAAGTTTTATACTATTAATGTCTAAAATAAACTAAACAATTGGTCATGGTTACTCAATGCAAGTCTATTTGTTATCATCAAACACTAAAAACATACCAGATTCTTGGGGACTTGGCGGTTTTGCATAAACTGAATTCAATGAAAATCCAGGTTCCCCAGGAATATAAAACTTGGATATAGCAAGTATATACATTTCACTTTGCCCTTGTTTCTTGTCAGAACACATCTGCAGTTTCTTCAAACATTCTGTTATATACAGCGTCAAATAAATAAGAAGTCTGTCCGAGTTAGACTGAAAGTATAAAAGATAAATAAGACCAATATAATATAAGAAAAACAAAAACATACGGTGCCTTACCTTGATTTCATAAAATTTAAAGAATACGTTAGACTTGAAATAATTTATTGCTTCGTCAATTATATCTAATTCTAGCTTTGGGTCTGTGGGGGCTGGTCCTCGGAATTTGGTTCGTACCGGCAATAAGGCCAGGTTTCCTACAGATACTGTAGAATCCGTCAAAATAGAATGATAGGCCTAAAAACGAAATAACAGCGATTATATTTCATATAAAATCCCCTTTGTTGTATTAGCACTTACTTACTGGCATTTTATCTATGTTCTTCGAATACCAAGTTGTTGTTCTGATCCGCGAGGTACCCACATGTAGCTACAGCACAATAAGTATAATATAAGACGAAGAATAGGTTATTTCAGACTTTTTTGTCGTTCACTAATCATATAATGATTGTAACCATACTATGTACAGACTATACTACCTACTATAATACCTGCGTTGACAGCACAAAATGTGGGTATTATAATAAATATTTTTAACAATTCTGATTAAACCTTCCTTGCATAAATTTCTACGTTATCCATGTCTAAAATGGCCACCGTATGTCTAGGAATATGATTCGTAAATATTCTCTAATCTATGGTAAATCTAAACTACATATTTATTTAAAAAAAGTTAAAATCTTAGAAGTAATTAATGACCAATATAGTGTAACAAATATAACATTTAGCTGGTAACATTGTCAATATCACCTTCTGTAACGTTTGAAAAAACTTTCGTCTAAATTAAAAATATTTACTTATTTATTCATCAGTCGTTTTATGTTTTAGTTACAGAGTAGTCCCCGAATTGCAGCATGTTTTGCACAATTCAGTTATAATTTCTAGCTAAAATGGTTTTAACTCTCAGATTAAAAAATGGTATACATAAAAACGATACAATTAAAAGCATTGGAATATAAGATAAACCATATATTGATAATTTTCAGTTCTATATATGTTATAGTTTAAAATATATACTTTAAAGTTTAAATTAAAACTTATAACTGATATAGATTGTAGTTGGTTTTTTAACTCATATTATATATTTTTTAATGATTTCTTGATTTTCTATTATCTTATTGTGTTGTTAATATATTTTTTTTTGTAATTATGGGTACGTATAGTTTGTCTTTTATTTTGATATTACAAGTCATTAAGTTGTTTATTTTAATAAAACCTGCCTTGCTACTTTTTTAATTTATCATACTCAACCAGTAACATGTCTTGAGTGAGTATTGTAGTGTAGTAGTGAATGAGTGACTGTTAGGAGTCACTCATTCATAGTTAGCTATACACGCAGCATAAACGTATGGTAGCAATATCAGAATTCTGTCTTAGTAACGAAGCACTATACACAGATAAAAAGACGCTATTATTTTTCGTTTTAATTACATTTGTGGATTGTGAAAAGTCAAAATAGGTCGATAACTTATTTTAATTATGCTTGTATTTGCTCTGGTGTAATATAATTATAAGTAATGTAATAAGTAAACTAAAGTCAAATGTCAAGATTAACGAAGCGTAAATAACACTTGATAACCCACAGGCATTTGTTTGAAAACTGTGGGTTTCCGAAGTGTTGCGAGTGGATATCAACTTATAAATCAGCCAGCGTGCATCCGCCTCGAAGCAACCAATATGTTGCTACAATACAAATGTGCAGCGTGGCTTTTTCTACCGTACGATAGTGTCGTCGGCGCTCGGGCGCGCAGCCAGCTACGCGAGTACACCTGCATTCGTAAAATGTTTCGGCAACCGTTCTATTTAGGTTTTGTGTAACTAGGTTAAGTATATTTTAATCATAAGTTATAAATGGTTTTAACGTGTTGCCTAGAATTTGATTAAGCGCGAGCGATGTAGTTCAATTCCTGGGGAAACAATACATTGTTTCAGTCGGGCATGTTGGCTATAAGTAAAACCGATCAGTGAAACGGACACGGAAATGTGTTCAATGTGTTCCAATTTCTTGGGAGGAATGGAATTTTACGTTGAGTGACATGGTTTTTTCGTTGTAATTGTTCTAATAGCATTAATCCGTTTCTAGGAAAGTTATTATTATAAATAAGAGTAAAGAATTGTGCTAATAAAGCATTGTAATATTAATATTGAACATATTTTGCAAACATTAAAAACAATATTCAATTTTTTTATTATGCTATCTAAAATATATCTTTAATTACCAGAAAAAAATGAATATTACAGTTGTTTATAAGCTCTGTGGCATTTTTTTTTTTATAAAAAGTATACTATAATGTAAAATCGCTGTCCTCAAACTACCTTATGGTGCACAACCTGTCAAAATTGTTACGCCGTTCGGATAACAATAACAAATATTAATAAATTATTTTTTTATTACCCTAACATAAGACAGATATGTAAATATGCTTCATGTCCCACGTATGAGAAAAAGCATTTTACCATTTTTGAATGAATGATTTACTTAAAAGCATATATACCTATGTGTATGACAGTTTCTGAATTAGTTGTTGGTCTTGAACAATAAAGGTTTTTTATTACTTATACTTTAAATTACGATAATCAACATTCTCATTGATTTTACCGGGTCGAAAATGACATGGAAGATTGCCATATCAAACGACAAGAATTACGCAAAAACTATTTCATACGACTTATTAACTTTTAATTTTATAAAGTTTATTGCAAAATATGTCGACGAATTTTAACTACGATCTGACGTTCCGGGAGCTTTTCAGCAGATGTTGTCAAAAGGGGGACGAAAAGCTATAGAAACTAAACGTCATTAACTAATATAGTTAATTTTTCACTCTGTTAAATGTAGTTTTTAAACGTCAAAAAAATTAACTTTTCAATTAGGTAAAGTAAGTCCTTTACAATTACCTCTAATTTTGTTTTTTTTTCATATTCCTTTGTAATGTTTTTCTATCTACGTACATTTTATAAAAATGTTTAAAATTTTTACAAGCTTCGTTTTCGTTTTTTTCCACATCAAACATAACCTAGTTGTTGAGAATTTTTGTATAATGTCAATGACGCTTTGAAGAAATTATTTTACATTAAATCGATTCTCCTTTACAAAAGTTAATGCATCAAGCTATTAACTTAAAACTATCCGTATCTAGTTAGATTTAGCCTCACAATGTCAGTTTGACAAACTTTGAGATATGACAGACGGTTTTTGATAACTTGTTATTTTGAAATAACGTTGGGTCACTGCCGCTGTTTTGAACTTACAGTGTTACCAACTGTAATCCGTTGATTGGATTGATTCAGTCGTTTCGCATTTTGTATTAACTCGTTTTGGTCTAAATCTTTGGTACATCTATTGTGTAGTCTTGTACTGTACGAAGAAATGTTTGTTTTGAGTATTCTATCATGCTATCCAACAGCGCTTCGTCATAGCTACTAATATATCAAGCGGAAGAGTTTGTTTTTTGTTTGTTTGAACGCGCTAATCTCTGTAACTACCGCTGCGAATTGAAAAATTATATAGACAAATAGGAGCAAAGAGACAGCAGGAAATCTGAAAAAAAAAACGAGGAAAATTATTGACATTTGTGGGTTTCCGTTATGAACGCTGCGAAACCAGTTCAAGATTCACAAAAAATATGTATGAAAGAATAATTTATCTTTAATGGATCTAAAAGAATGTCCGGAAATAAAATTCTGTCAAGACGAAGGAGCACCATACGTCTAGATAACAGCTTTTAAAGATGATAAAGTTCCCAAAAACAATTTGATGGCCAGAATAAATATTCTGCGCGGACAAACGGTCGCTGACACATCTGGTACATATATATTTCATCAAGAATAACAAGCACATTACTGAATACAGTATAAGTAGATACACTGTAAATAGTTTTGTAAACGCTAGTTCTTCTCCCAATCTTATTAGTTATCACGAAAGTTTAGACATGTTATTCAGCAGTTCAACACTGGCAAGAGAGTCTAACTATATGCAAAACTTTGCACTGGATGCAATGGAAGTCAAGTGTTCCATAAATAAAACATCTCGTATAATAAGATACGCAATACTTTTTACGATATGAATATTGCAATTCAAGTCAAATCTTTCAACAATCTTTAACAAATCGCGTTTTTTTAGTCAAGACAAAAAAGCGCGTCTTGTTTTAATGGTATATGGCTGAGGTATTTCACATAATATCATCAAGTGACCTTGCCAGTCTGTCCTGTTCTCAATCATGAAAAAGATCAGTACAAACATAACATGCTAGGGTCTCAAAAAAGAGGGGGGACATTTGGGATTACATTTTTTTCTAATTCCGACTAGCAAAGACTAGTTAATAGGTTTCCTTTCTACTTTTTTTGTATTTATGAAAAATCTTGATTGGTTAGACCGTATAGATTCTAACCGAAATTGAGAGATATAAAGTATTAAAATCGAATCCGACAATTAATAGTTACTTTTAAACCCAATCGAATTAACTAGATCCTAACCCGTTTATAAAGTCTCAATATATATTGGTCGATAATTCAAATGTCAATGTCACATGTACTACAGTAGCGTCATCTGTTTCTTTGTAATGGATATTTGCAGCAACAGTCATATCGCGTTTGAAATTCCTTCTTCTACATGAACCTATGCAAACATTGCACAATATTATATATATGAATTATATAAGTACATAAAAGTTAAACACGCTTCGCATCTTTTGCCAAGTCTAATCGTTATAAAGGCATTGTAAATCTGGCACAGGAAGAGCTAACGTGTTTCTAAAGCCCTGTTCGATGCAATGCTATAAAACTGGAAAGCTGAAAGAAACTTAAGGTATTGAAGATGTTTACGGTAAATAAATAGACATGAACTTTGATAGAACTGCAACTGATACAGACTTCAAAGAATTTACTTCGACTTCAACATCGAAATAAATGGTTATTGGAAATTGAACTGTTGTTTTTTCTTAAATATAGATTTGGTCGCGAAATAAAACAAATAGTTATGTTTAACATATACTTTTATGATCATACAATAAAAAGGGTGTTTCATATTTTGTGAGTTTCAATTCCCTTTGGGTTGACTTGGTCGTCATAGAAATCTTCACCCCACCTGCGGCTCAACGCCGCCGACAGACAATTACTGTAAAAAGGACAAAAGAAAAGTAATATATGACAGTGTAATAAGATTGTTAATAACAAACAGCTCTAAATACTGTCTATAGTTTTCGCGAGTAGTACACTTTAATTCACGGTAGACCGATATATTAGTAAAACTTAGGGGGGGGGGGGGGGGGCCCCCCCCCCGGCGGGGGGGGGTTTTTTTTTTTTTTTTTT